TAACTTTTTGTCACGTTTTGCAGGTGGCTTATTGTGCTTCAATCTAAGCTTCACCGGCTGAGTATTACACAGAAAAAGCGAGGACCTGAGAATGTACAAATGGCAACTAGTTACAACAACTTGGGTGTGTTTCACGAGAAACTGGGCGACTTTGAGAAGGCCAAGGAGTATACCAACTTGGTCTGAGTATTACACAGAAAAAGCGAGGACCTGAGAATGTACAAGCGGCAACTAGTTACAATAACTTGGGTTATGTTCACGAACAACTGGGTTACTTTTAGAAGGCCAAGAAGTATCACGAACTTGCTCTGAGTATTAAACAGAAGAAGCTAGGACGCAGGTAAAGATAGTCTTGCTCCAGTTAAAAACGATGGGATCAATGGCATGATTGAAATTTCGTCTGAAAGTAGTGCTGAATCCTCTAAAAGCGAAAGACTAAAAAGCAGTGAGAAATAAGATGACAGAAATCGTTAGAGTCAGTCACAAGTCATTTTCTTGAATTGCTGAGATTCGTAGACGAGACAATGAAAGGAATTATTCCGTAACATAACCAGAACACTTGAATACAACTTACGAGATTAAACTTTGAATTAGTATGGTTCGTAACAGCCCGTGTTCAGTATATTTCTTGACATCAAAACCTTTCCGACCAGGTGGAGTAGAATTGTTCGTGGTTTGTCTTGTTTCGATTGACTGTTCTCCTCTTTTTTATATGTTTCTACCAAACTTTTTCAAGACAAACTCGAAAAACAAACTTCGTAAGACACATTTCTGTTTTGATCATTTTCTTGTTTTTGTTTTGTTTTGATTGATTGTTTTTTATTCAAAGGGGAGGTTTTGGATAGTCTTGACTTTGTGTAGTCGACCCAATTTTCTTGGCTCTTTTTCAAACACACGGAACGTGGGCTGTCAAAATATCAGTTAAGATAAATCGATAGTTTTCGCTATCTCCTCAACGGCGTCCGTAGATTCCTCAAAAATAATAAAAACCATCAATATTTCTCACAGCTTTCAAGAGTTAGTCTAAATTACATATACTCGTACTTTTTAAAAAGCTAAATTAAGTCGCAACGATATTATTGATTAAGTTCTTACGCATATTGCGAGACTCGACTTAATATTTCTTGGTTTTGAGTCAGTAAATTCCTTATCTTTTGTCACACAATTTATCTTAGACAGCTTTGCT